TTCTCTTTCATCGATGTTTCTAACTCTCTATCCCTCTCTCTTCCTCTCTGTAAAAAATCAATAAAATATATCTTTTTTAAAAGAACTTATTAGAAAGGACTAAATCTTCTAGGAAAAAGAAATACGTTGGCAGAGATGTCGATTATTGGCCTTCATGAGAGCTGGTCACTCAGCAGGCAGGGAGTTCAAGCACCTGACCGAGCAGGATGCGTCTGGTTCCTCGGGGTCCACGGGGCATGTGCATGTCTCGGCAGAAGGCTGCACCCCTTAATGGCTGCTGCAACAAGAACACCATCAGCCCTGACTGGTTTGGCTCAATGGATAGAACATCCGCCTGCAGACTGAAGGGTCCCAGGTTCGGTTCCGGTCCAGGGCATGCACCTTGGTTGTGGACACATACCCAATAGGGTGTGCGCAGGAGGCAGCTGGTCGATGTTTCTGTCTCTTCGATGTTTCTAAGTCTCTATCCCTCTCCCTTCCTCTCTGTAAAAAAAAAAAAAAAAAATCACCATCAATTCCATCTCTCATGGAGCCAGCCATTTTTAACTGGCTGCTTTTATTTTATTTTTATTATTATTATTATTATTTTTTTTTTAAGGAATGCCCGGTGCTTCCCTATTACAACGGAAAACGTAATTGGGAACGAATCTTTCTCCAATGAAACGCGCACGCCCACAAAGTCAACTCCGAAAGCCTTGGTCGTGTCTGACAGGCCCGTCTCAAGATTTGTGACGAAGATCTTTCCACCCCGTTTCCCCCACTTCAACCCCCGCCCGTTTCCCTCACGGCACCGAAAGCTGGCGTGTACAGAGAAATTCCAGGAGCCGGGCGTTTTATTAGCGACGGGAAAGCCGGCCTGCTTGGCCCCGCTGCCCATGCTGACGGCTCGTTTTTCCATGGAGCCACAGACAGGCTGCTGCAGACACTGAAAGAGGCGAAGCGCTCACTTTCCAACTGGGGCCATAAAAGACATAAATGCCAGTGATTTAGGACTCTGTGCTCATTGTATAAGCACCAAAGTCAAGTGCGCCCCTTCTTAAAACGAGGGTGAAACAGTCCTAGCGTTCTTGTCAGAAGACTCGGAGCCAGGCCTGGGCACGCTCCGGGGCCCCTGAAGTATGACCACGTCAAGGGCCGAATTCTACGGCATCACCACGGAGCTACATGGCTGGCTCCGGGCCCTCCCCTCTCCTCTCCTCCCCCCACTCACCCTCCGAAAGCTCCCCGGCCCTCCCGCGCCCAGGCACACGTCCCTTCCCTGAAAGCCCGCAGCACTGACCACGGAGGCCCCACAACTGAACAGCTGGCCTCTCCCTTTAACACCTGCACTCCACACCGTGCGAATGCTGCCTGAGTCACTCCTCCACGTGCTTCTCCCCCTCCCGCCGCCCTTGGTGAGCGAGGCAAGGCAAGAGCCATGCTTCTCATCTTCTCACTCCTCCCGCATCCTCTCCATGTCTCACCCACGGCCACGGCTGCCCGAGATGAAGTCATAGAGGGCCTGGGAAAGGCCGTGCCGGGAGAAGGGCCCGTGTGTGCCTCGTACCGCTCTTCGGGGCGTTATCTGCAGGCTCCCCAGTATGCTCAGGGGTTAAAGCAACCAGACCGTGACATTGTACCCACGGTCCACAGCATCGGGGTCATTCCCCTGTCACACTGCGTCAGCCTGCTCCTCGGGGGGAGGTGGTCCGAGGCAGCTGCTCCAGAAAGCACCCTGCGGTGACTTTTCTCCGCACGACGGGCCTGGAGCAGCCGAGGGACCGGAACCCCCCCCTCCTCACTCACTCACACACACACACACACACACACACACACACTCGGCATGGGCTCCTCTGGGCCGTGTGTCCTCCCTCCCTCCTGGGCTTTGCTCTGGGCGCCAGAGCCAGCCAGGCTGCGAGCCCAGGCACAGGCGGGCTGGAACGCGATCTCAGGGTCACGCAATCACAGGGTCACACAATCACAGGGTCACACAATCACAGGGTCACCTGCCTCTTTCTGAAAGCATGAGCAGGAGCTGCCGTCCCTTCTTACTACTGCCCTCCCCCCCCCCCCGCAACACGAGAAGCCCTTTCTCCAGCCCCAGCTCAGCGCGCACAGAGGCAAGCGGACAGTCTGACGGCTGACGGCTCGGGTTCACTTGTGGGAGAGACCACTCGCTCCGGGTAAAGAAGATTACCACTGGGCTCACGTACTGCACGTGAACTGCTGGACGTTTCCTTTCCCTGTAACCAGTGATCACACATATGTGCACATACAGAAAGACTGAAAGGCGCCCACGGAAAAGCAAGCCTCCCTCCCTGACCCACCCTCAGCTCTCAGCTTCCCGGATCTTCAGGGGCAGCAACGGGTACCAGATGATTCGACCCCAACCCCCACCCCCAGACCTTAGATGCTTTCCCGATCCCCCTTTTTATCACGGGTTTCTGACTAAGAGAAAAGGATAAATATTCGCCAAGCAGCTTCTGACCGCCAGGTCCTAAGGTGTGTGTTTTACATACATGAGGACATTCACCCTTCACAACCACCTCTTCTTTTTTTAGAGAGAGAAAATATTAGTCTTTAAAAGTTGTCCTCAAACAACTTTTTAAAGCTAATATTTTCTCTACTTTTCAGAGGAGGAACTTGAGATTCAGCAAAGGCAAGAGACTTGCCCAAGGCCACACATCCAGGTCCCAAGTTGCTTTCCCAGACCACCTAGCTCAGTGGTCGGCAAACGCATTCTTCCACAAAGCCAAATGTCAATACAACGATTGACATTACTTTGGAGAGCCACATTTTTTAAACTTAAACTTCTTCTAATGCCACTTCTTCAACATAGACTCACCCAGGCCGTGGTATTTTGTGGAAGAGCCACACTCAAGGGGCCAAAGAGCCACAGGTGGCTCACGAGCTGCAGTTTGCTGACCCCTGGCCTGGATTATCCTGTTTCGTAAAATCCATTCTCCAGCCAGATTTGTTCTTCCTGGGAACCTGGGCTCTGGAAACCTGGCTACTTGGTCACAAAAGCCGCCACTGGTCATGTGTCTAACGTAAAACTCCAAGAAGCCAGACCCGTTCCTGGGCCTCCCCGGGCCTCCGCTGCTTCATCTGCAGAGTGAGCCCAACGAGAACACCCACCACGAGAGGTCACAGCGAGGTTAGATGAGTTCCCCTAAGAGCCAGCAGAGCCCCCGCTGTACAGCCACTCTGATGCTTCGTGGCCATGGCCACGTGGCTCAGGGGCAAACCGGGGTCTGGAAGGGCTTTCCCTCTGGTTTGCATCCCTGCCTCTGGCTGCATCATAGCGTGACTCTGGGATGCAATCTGGGGTGCATTTGGGGAGCCCCTGGCTACCTTCTGGCCCCATCATACCAGTTTCCTCTCTCCCTCCCCGGAGCTCGCTCCACTCACGTTTCCCCTCAGCGTGCCCTGCCAAGTGCTCGAGCCTTCTGCCGCCAAACCCCGGGAGCGCTTCACAGTCTCATTACCGTGATCTCGTGTTATCATGGCAAGAGTTCCGTTCTCAGTTAAGAACTAGAGTCCAGCGACACCCTCCCTCCGGCCACAGGTCTTAATTGTCTCAACGCAAAGTGTGTGTGTCACTCCCCCCTGCCCCTGTGCAGGCACATGGAACTCCAGATCGATCCAGCTTGCTCAAGCACCCTCAGCCGGTGTGACTCTCCCGGAATGGGAAGACATGTGCTAACCTGGCCACACGTTTTTCAAATCCATTTCCGCTCAACTGGGCAGCATTTTCCATTGAAGTGCCTCTTCCTTCGGAGCAGAAGCCCAGATAATCTATAGGCGATCTACAGGCTCCAGGGTTGTGTGGCCAGCAGAGGCGGGGGCTGCGGGAGTTTCGGGGCGGGGTGGGGGGGATAAGGAAGTCAATGACCGAGGCTGTCCCTGGCCAAAGGCTGGCTGGATGACTGCCCCAGATGCTTCACATTCTGAGAGCCGGTTAGCCAAGGAAGAAGGGGAGGAGGAGGCCAGCTTCTCCCTGAAAAACCTTTCTAGGCCTGACCTCCTTCAAGCAAGATAAGGTTCCGCAATCATCCCACAAGCATCTCCTCCGGTTTAGGCCTTATCAGGGCAGTAAGTTACTGTCATGATGCAAGCTCAGGAGATAAGCTTCAGCCAAGAGGTGTGTGAGTGTGTGTGTGTGTGTGTGTGTGTGTGTGTTAGCCATAAAAGTCACAGCCTCTCCTAATCACAAAAAAAGTGTCTGGCTGGGCCGAGCTGTCAGCATTCACGGCAAAAAGCCAGGTTCACCTTTAATTACCTGACGTGAAAGGATAGCCACGAAAGCCCATCACGAAAATAACGTAGGTAGAATTCCAGCAAAACCCTCCCATGAATTCCTCCCACACAACAATTCCGCTGGCAGCATCTGGAATGCAGCTCACGCAAAGCTGGGGTTTCAGCAGGGTTTGTGAGGCAACCTTCTGTTGAGACAGCATTGTGCATATGCCGCTGCTATGCTCTATCTCTCCATTTTCTCCTCCGGGAGCTGTTTCACAACGCTGACATCACAGCGACCTCCTCCTATCCAGAGGCGCTTATGATGAATAACAAATGAGTAAGAAGCCCAGGAATTCAGGGGGAGTGAAGGTAAAGCAGCACCAGATATTGTTTTTACCATAAAAGCCCTGACAGGAAGTCCAGAAGGCTCACCGCGAACCGTGCTCAGATCTAATTCTTCAACCACCTCCTAAGACCAGCTTCCTCTACAAATCGGATTTGGGGGACTTTACAAATGCCGAGGTTGTTACTGATTTCTTTCCTCAAGATGTGCAATCCGTTCCTTTCCTTCCTAGGCCCAGCCCCCAGGGATTAAAATGTCCTTTTGGAACGCTGTACACACACACAGCAAGGAACCTAGAGCTGGCCATTCCCGAAAGCCACCGGAGCTGGGCCGGGGACACTGGCTGTGGCTGCCCGGCCCCGCACCTCAGCAGGAGTGGAGGCTGTTTCTGACCTCCCGGCCCCTCCAGAGCGTGTGTGCCTCCCCATGTACTTACGTCGCTCTTCCTGAACTTGGCTTTCAAGCTCTTCATGTTCAGTCCATTCAGCTTCTAAAGCTCTAAGGGAGACTGCTCAACACCTAGGAGAGAGGGAAAGAAAGAGGTCAAGGATCGAGGTTTCCAAATAACCCACGGGCACTCCCTCCTGAGGGGATACTCCCTCCTGATGGGATACTCCCACCTGAGGAGATACTCCCTCCTGAGGGGATACTCCCTCTGGAGGGGATACTCCCTCTTGTGGGGACTACAACTTTGCACCATGCGCAGGAGCTTGGGGCTGAGTTAGGGAGGCAGTCAGAGCTAAGACGTGGGAAAGAACATGTTTCCACCCATGACAGACTACTCCCTGGAACCTTCCGACATTTTCAAGTGCACCCAAATCCTGACATGTTACCCAACTTCCCAAACGTTAAGAGGAGAACAACTCTAACTGCTCAGCTGTCATTGTACGAAACACAGTATCTTAGGCTGGACCGATCCCTCCGCACCCTCCGTGTAACCACTGCACCGTCCACAGCCTGTAGAGGGGCCACCACAGCGCAGACCGATAAGGACGCAGTGGTTCATACCCCGGATGCCACGCATTCCCTGCTTATTTTCCTCCGAGTGGTTCCCCCCTCACAGGGCAGTCAGTGGAAAATGCCAGGATCAACAAAACCTCCCTCAACACATACCTCGCCTCTCAGGAGGCCACAGAAACAACGAGAAAGACTCTCTCCCGGGCCTCGGGGGGCCCAGCCATTCCCACTGGGAGCTGAAACAGCCTGAAAAGTCCCCTTATTTCAGAGGCTCTGTGGCCCTGGAAAGTGATTTCATTTTCTTAAGTACGTACATACTTTTTTCAGGGAAGAAAACAGTGTTCCTTCGAGGCTCTGCAGGGGGTTGTCACCCCAAAAGTTAGGACAATGGATGGGGTCCAAGACCCTCGTTCTCCAGAGCAGAGCCTCGGAGAAGTCAGGAAACTCCGAGCCCGCTTGTGCTGGAACTCAGACCCAAGCCCCACGGTCTGCTCGCCGGACGCTTTTCCCACCACCTCTCACTTTAAAACTAAAACCGAGAAGCAGAACCCTGGCTAACATATGGCCTGGGCTTTATTAAACGTGGAAAATGCACAGCGTGCGGAACCTCTGCGTTCAGGTAAAAAAGGCAAGGAAATCTGTGTGCCAGTCCCCAGCCCTGCGGGCGTGAGCGCTCTACGAATGCCACTTCAAGCCTCCAGTCCACAGGGAGGCCGGCAAACCTCCCAGCACTGTCCACTGGAGAACTCAGAAAAGGTGGCCAGCCAAAACGGGTTCAGCTCAGTGGATAGAGCATCGGCCTGCGGACTAAAAGGTCCCAGGTTTGATTCTGGCCAAGGGCATGTACCTTGGTTGTGAGCACATCCCAGTAGGAGGTGTGCAAGAGGCAGCTGATCGATGATTCTCTCTCATCAATGTTTCTAACTCTCTCTATCCCTCTCTCTTCCTCTCTGAAAAAAAAAAAATCAACAAGATATATTTTTAAAAGAAAAGGTGGGCAAATGTCGATACGGCTGGCCACTGTCTCTCTAAAGCTTCTCAAGGTTGTCTCGTTCCTCCACCGTCCTGACCATGCGGGACCAGACTGTTCTGCGGACACAGAGCGGGGAATGCAAGCAGCTGGATGGCTGTACTCGTCCCTCCTCAAGTCCACCTCATGGCTTCCAATGTGTTCACTCTCTTTGCTGCTGCGGCTGCTCAGCAGGGTCCGCAGATGGACGGTATGAGCCCAGTCACCACAAGGCACTTCAGGGACACTCCTCTGGAGGTCACAGGCTACCCGGCCTCCCTGCCGTCCCTTTTCCATCCACCCAGCCTGGAAGGGAGAAGTGACAAAATGCATGTTGCCTTGGAAACTGTACACGCTGTAACTGCACCTTGGTAACTGCCAAGTATGTGACCACAAGCAGGTGGGGCTGGTATGTGAACAGCAAAGTGCAAATTCGGGGATTGTGTTTCTCGAGGTTGGCCCCTAATTAATCTGGATCAGAAGGACCTGGGCACAACTTGCTGAATGCAAAACCCTAATTCACGTCCCACGGGAACTGAATCTGAGGGAGCAGGGCCCAGAAATGTATTTGGTCCCATCCTTTGCACACTGACGTGTGAGAACCGAGGATTGAGGTAGATAAACAGGAAATGGAATACACTAATTCATAAACAGCCCCTTTTCCTGCCCAAACAAACCACCTTCTGATGAATGCAGGTGCAAGTAATCATGGTCCTCCACCAATTGCAGCTACAAAATGGAAATCATCCTTGGATTTCAAGTCCTTAGCGAAGAGCTAATAACCAAAGGAAGAGGCCAAATCCATGCAACAGGAAAGGGAGAGGAGAGGCCAAGGCTTGGATAACCCACCAGCTGTGTAGCCCACCACGGCAGGACCACCCAAAGCATTCCTTCAGTCTTGGTGGGGAAGACTTCCGTGTGAGGGCCTGGTGGGCTCGCATAGGTGTTATACTAGTTTTGTATGTGTGTGCTTGTCTTTGGGGCTTTCTTATTAAAGCATGCCAGTGAGAAGTATGCAAACCCCTTTATTTGAAGAAAATCAAATAAACAAAGCAAATAATTCCCAAAATTCCCAGGGGAAGGGATGCTTTGTGAAATGGTTATCTTCCTGGAATCACGGCTCTGGGTGTGAGACAGCCGGGTGGTCCATGGGCATAACTTCAGGTTGATGGAGATAGGGGTCAAGGGAAACCTACAGGAGAGTAACTTCAAAACCCAGGATGGCAGCTGGGGGTAATTAAAGCGAGGAATGGATCGCTGTTTCCCTGGTTTGTAGAAAGGACTTTACCACGTGGAAGCAGGACTAGAGGGAAGTAACTTGCCCCTGAAAAGATGCTGGCTCCCTCTGCCTCAGCATCTCCTCCCCAACAGGGCCTACAAGTAAAGCAAGGACTTCCTTGCCTTTCTCAGGTCAGCTGGAATCTCACAGCTCTGATTCCCAAGTCCAAACTCCCAAAACGAAAACTGGGGTACCGGCTATCATGTCATCCATTAATTTCGCAAGCTACTAGCAGTCCTTGGAAATGTCACTTAATCAAGAGGGGACTTAACCATCTCAGACTTTCCAGGCAAGGGCCAGACACCTGTCTAGTCTTTTTAAGCTGTCCTAGAAGTTTCTCTCGGGAGGCTGCATAGAGGTGGTGGGCATCCCTGCATGGTTCTCTCCAAAGAAAGATCAGCCCCCGACCTGCACACACTCCGACCCCTTTTTAGACCCTGCGTGTGAGTGACGTCAAGAGCCCCACTCAGCAAACGTGAAAACGTGCGCCCTGTTTGCAAACTCTGAAATAGTGGGTCTCCAGGCTGGGATTTTCACTTGGCTTTCATTCCTCTGGGGTGCTGGCCATTGGCGTTCGATCGATATATGTCTCATGCATTAACGTGGGAGACAAAGATTGGGTTGGGACCCTGGATCGCCTTTAGACTTCACCTTTGACCTCAGCAAGACTGTCTCTGCCAAGTTCAAGTGCAGTGGGTTAGCCACACTAGATCTAAGTAAATGTTACATGATGATGAGGTTTTACCACATATACAAGAGCACTAGAGGAGTTAGAGACAAGTATATAAAAGCCCAACTCCTAGGGCCTATGAAGTCTTACCAGGTTGCTCCTCCTTTCCCTCTAGCCAGCCCCCTCCTCACTGCCTCTCCCCCAACAGCCCTCCCCCCCACACCTCACTGGGTGGCTCCTCATGAGTCATCACCTCCCCCTACACTGAGCTGAGCCAAGGGAGCGGGCCATTTTGAATAATGGAATGTGAAAGCTACAGAGAGCAAGGACCATCAAGCAGAAACCCCAGGGGTCAGAAGGTGCAAACCCCCAGCTATAAAACAAGCCACGGGGAAGCCATGTGCAGCTTGGCAGCCGCAGTTAGCAATACTGCCTGCATGTCTGAGAGTGACTAAGAGAGATCTTCTTTTTTCATCTATATGGTTGGAAGCATTACATGTCCCTCTTTTTCTCCCATTGACCACTTCCAGCCCGCCCCCACCCCCCACCCCAAGGCTCCACCACCCTATGTGGCCAGGGGTTATGCATAGATGCACATAAGTTCTCTGGTTGACCACCTCCTGCCCACCCACTCCCTGCCTTCCCTCTGAGATTTGACAGTCTGTTCCATGCTTCTGTGTCTCTGGATCTATGTTGATCATTAGATTCCACATATGAGTGAGAACACGTGATACTTGTCTTTCTCTGACAGGCTTCTTTCACTTAGCGTAATACCGGGCAGGCAGACCTTAAAAGCTCTCACCACAGGAAAAGCATTCTGTAATTATGTGAGGTGAGGGATGTCACCTAGACTCATTGTGGTGGTCATTTTGCAATAAATGCAAATATCAAATCATTATGCAGTGCACCTGAAACTAGATACATGATATATCAATAGCATATTATATATCAACTGGAGGCCCGGTGCACGAAGATTCCTGCAGGAATAGGCCTTCCTCCCCTGGCTTCCCTTCTGGCTGCCTGGGAGCCTGCAAGCCCTTGCTCCCAGCCAGAGCACCGCTCCTGTAGCTCCCTCCACTCTTCTCTTCCCCACACCCACCCACCGCTCCATGGCTACATATGCAAATTAATCCACCATAGTTGTCGAGTTATTTGCATTCTTACTCCCGATTGACTGTGGATGCAATGGAGATACAGTCGATTTACATGTTTGTCTATCATTAGGTAAGATTTTATCTCAATTTCTAAAAAGTATTTAGCAACTGAAATTGACTATAGAACTTTGTTTTGTACTAAAGACTAATCAGGAAAGTCACAGCTTTTGCCCAGAGGTGAAGAACTCACTTAATAAATTTTAAAGAGCTAGTGGGACATTAAGGCAGAGCTGCTCAATGGTTACCTCTCAGGCTACTCACTAGGCAAACCAGATACACACGAATAAATGGATGTGTAGGTGAATAAACACACAAGTAAACTCTGCTGGGCATTATGATGGGATGGGAGCTTTCACAGATGACATCTTTTTTACGCACTAACTACAGAGCAGGCGTGTTAAAGATCTCCCAGGTAATATAGAAAAGTAAAGGGGGGAGGGGGGCAGGGAG